ATAGAGATTTTATCAAAATTATGTTTTATAAACTCCTTTAACTTCTTTTTTCCAATACAGAATAACAGATTGAAATAATATCTTCAAATTAATTGAAAATATATCTTTTTCCTTTTTGGTACTGGGGATCGAACTTGGGTCCTTGCGCTTGCGCAGCAGGCGGTGAAACCACTGAGCTAAATACCTGGCCCTTTGAAAAAATATCTTAATCTACTTCAATTTATCCCTGTAAGAGAAAAAATGATTCTTCTCAAAGGTAATACAAAAGCTATCAATAAACCTAGGACTATTAATGTCAGTTGTCTCTCATTCTCTATATAAAAACTCAAATTTCAATAGTCTACATTCACTAGCTAATTTGCAAATACAAACTTTTTACAAAAATGATTTTAAAATTCTGGATGTGAAGGCGATCTGGCTGTGACATCTGTCACCCCATTGATTGCCAGGGTTGATTTTAAAATTCTTTTAAATGAGGGCTGGGGATTTAGCTCAGTGGTTCTACCACCTGCCTCGCAAGCACAAGGTACTGAGTTTGATCCCTGGTACCAAAAAAAAAAAAAGAAACAGCAAAATTCTTTTAAATGAAATGAAAAAGATAAAGAAAACAAACAGCACATACCTGGTTTTATCAGAAATCCACTCTTCATTGATGTCTTCATGCATCCGTGGCAAGATCCTCATCACCTCTCCAGTTCTTGTGCTAACCACAATATTACTTCCAACTGCGTCCATTACATCAATGGACTCTGTCTTTCTGAGAAAATAAACACATATGTACATTTTCTCTGTTGATTTTGAGAATAACAGCAGTTTCTGTTACCTCATTCATGAAAAAAATTTTTTTAAATTTCCTTTCTAAATTTCTAAAAATAGTAGAGCTAAGAGGAAATGCAATTTAAAAAATAGCCCCACAGTTGAACATATCACATAAATTCCTCATGTGATAACGAAACCTTTAAAACTGACAGCCGACACAGAAGCCAATTTAAAGGGATTCTAATTGGCTATCTCTGGGGCAGTATGAATATTAAGATATTCAAGAGGGGTAGGATTTCTGGCTATGGACGATAAAAAAGCTCAGCCAATCCACCCTTCCAAAAACAAAAATAAAGGTGGACAAAACTGACCAAAAAAACCCCCACTATTTCAGCACTTTGAAAACCTACCAAGGGCTGGCATACAACGCAAGAAGCTTTAATGCATGAAAAACTCCTTTGCTCCTCATGAGAACAGTAAAAACCCCTTGGAGCTGTTCCTCTCCCAGTCCCACTACCTTACTCTGAAGGTTCTTCCACAGCAGGGCAGGTAAGAGTTGAGAGAGTTCTCTGCTGCAGATGCAAACTATTCACTGGATTGGGAGCAATGGCAAACCTGCCTACAGATGTGATGTCCTGGAAGCCACTACTCTACTAACCCGAGGCTGTAGCTGTAGTTGGGGCAAGCATTCCTCACTGAGGCTAGTTACAGCTGAGCCCAAGTTATTCACACACTTTTGGACAACACTGAGACTCAAAGAGCCAAAAGAGAAAGTAAAAAGCTAGTGCTATGGTGTGGATCTGGAAAAAGGCCCGCATGTCAAAGGCTTGCTCCCCAGTTCACATGCTGGTGGGAGGTGGGGAACCCTTTGAGAGATGCCTCGCTGGCAGGTCTGAGCTCACTGGGGTGCAGGAGATGACTTGGAAGGTTGCTGCGACCCTGGTCTCTTGCTCTTTTCCTGCTCTGATGATGATGAGGTGAGCAGCGTCCTCGGCCACAAGCTCCTGCCATGATCTGCTGCTTAGCTACAGGCCCAGAAACAATGTGCCAACTGACTGTGAGCTGAAAAGTACAACACTCTGAGGCCAAATAAACCTTCACTCTTTTTAATGTGACCACCTCGTATTTTAATACAGTAACAGAAAGTTGTCTAACACAGCTAGATAGACTTGAAAATGGCCAAAGCTTTAACTATGTTCCACTATTTATACACTAATCCATTGGCAGAGGATCAAAGTCTTATTGCATTCAGCTCAAGGTGTTTGAAAACAATCATTATCTGACTAAGTTAGGCAGACACAGCGGCAATTCTTAAGCCATCTCAGTTAAAAATGAAAACTGAGGATGTAGCTCAGTGGCACCATGCCTGCCTGGCAAACTCAAGGTCCTAAGTTTGAACTCTGATACACAAAAAAATAAAATAAAAAAATAAAGATGAAAACTGTATTAAAGTATGTTCAGTAATTCCAGCTCTCAGGAGGCTGAGGCAGGAGGATCACCATGGTTCAAGGTCAGCCTGGGCTACACTGTGAGTTCAATGCAAGCTTAACTACATAGGAAGACTCTATCTCAAAAAAACAAAAACAAACAAAAAACTAAAACAAAATATGTTCAAAGAACCTAAGAATTAAAGAGCCAGGCATGACAACACACACCAGTAATTATAACACTTGGGAGGCTGAGACAAGAGAATGCTGGAGTTAGAAGCTATCCTGGGCTACATAGAGATTTCAAGACCAGCCTGAACTACATAGCAAAAAACCACAAATAAATAAACAAGTAAGTAATAATACATAGATAAAAATTTTAAAAGGAGAATTAAAGGGGAAGTATGATACCCAAAAGTCAACAAGTAGACATTTTCAGTAAGGACATAGATTTTTTTTTTTCCGGTACCTGGGATCGAACTCGGGACCTTGAGCTTATGAGGCAGGTAGCTGAACCACTGAGCTAAATCCTCAGCCCAGGATAGATATTATTTTTAAAAAACAATACAGAGGGCTGGGGATTTAGCTTAGTGGTGCCCATGCCTGCCTCACAAGTGCAAGGTCCTGAGTTCGATCCCTGATAAAATACAGAAATTCTAGAGTTGGAGTTGAAAAGTATAAAGTTTAAAACTGAAGAGCAATTTGATGATATGTTTCAAGAACCTAAAAAATATTCATACTGGCTGGGCATGATCAAGCACGCCTTAATCCCAGCACTCAGTAGGCTGAGCCAAGATTCCTGAGGGTTCGAAGCCAGTTTGTGCTACAGTGAGTTCAAGGCCAGCCTGAACTACACAGCAAGACCCTATGTCAAAAAACAAGGGCTGGGGATTTAGCTCAGTGGTTCTGGTGCCTGCCTTGCAAGCACAAGGTCCCGAGTTCAATCCCCAGTACCAAAACAAACAAACAAAAAAACACACACGGGCCAGGGATTTAGCTCAGTGGATTCGCCGCCTGCTGTGCAAGCGCAAGGACCCGAGTTCTATCCCTGGTACCAAAAAAAAAATAAAAACAAATGAACAAAAATGCAAAACAAACTTGCTATATCTGCCTATTCCATTTCTTGGTTTTATAAGAATAAGAAATACTCCTGAGTTCGATCCCTGGTACTAAAAAAAAAAAAAAAGGAAGAATCAGAAATACTGTATATAAAAAATTTATGAATAACAACATTTTCCAGAAGTTTATATATATATATTTTTGGAGACAGGGTCTCACTATGTAGCCTAGGCTGACCTCCTCAAACTCACAGCACTCTTCCTGCCTCAGCCTCCCAAGTGCTGGGATTACAGGCATGTACCACCACTCCCTGCTTCCACAAATTTATAATTAGAAAGAAATACAAGTACGCTAAGTATTTAACATCAATTGGTTAAATAAAGCATGACATTTCCTTGTACTTGAAAAGTTAATATATAATAAGGTGACTATGAACCTAAAATATCAAGACTACTGATGGAAGGACCAAGTGAAAAACATAATTTTGTTGTTAAATATTTTAAAATTAATTTCCAAGAAAGCTACAATAAATTTGCTGAGGTTCACCCTATCCTTCAATCTAACTACTTCAAATGAAAAAGTTTCTACCTAGAGTATACAAATAAAAACTTAGCAGACCAACACAATTAAAACTCAGGAAGAGTGGTGGGGATGTAGCTCAGTGGTGTCCTGCCTGCCAGGCAAGCTCAAGGCCCCAAGTTTGATTCCTGGTACCAAAAAAGAAAAAAGAAAAAAAGAAAAAAAAACTCAGGAAGAAAATGACACTGAATATTTTTTGAATAGTAGTGAAATATAATTTTTTTTAAATTTTCAAAAAACATAAAGATGAATACCTCGTCTCCCATGGCCGGGCAGTGAAGGCATATGGCTTAGAGGTTAGGGCACCTACGGGGCAGATATCAATGACATTCCCAGACAATTCAGACATGAACATCTTTTCAATGTATGTGCCAACTTGCATATCATTTCCTCTGCCCGTTGTTCCCAAATCATCCACTCCTGCAATCTCACTTGCAAACCTGTAAGAGAAACATGGGTTGTCAAATGGAGTCCAACAAAATTATTTCATTTTCTACTCATGAACACAAAGATAATGACTTTAAAAACACTAAGAGGGTATAATTAATGGTATGCATAGTCCTTGAATAAAAAATAATCCCAATAAGGTATTGTGGCACATGCCGGTGATCTCAACACTCAGGGAGGTTAAGGCAGGAAGGTCACAAGTTCAAAGCCATCCTGTGTAACTCTGCAATTCAATAAGACACTATCTCATAATAAAAATAGAAAGGGCTCAAGATGTAGCTCTGTGCGAAGGCCCTGGATTCAATTCCCCAGTATAGCCGAAAAGAAAGGCATGAATAATATGCAGTAAATGTTTAAAAAAATTTATTAATTACAGTTAAAGACACATTGCCATTAATCCTCCTCAAAATACTCCCACTTGCTTCAAAAACACTTAGGCCATTAAGCTGGGTGTGGTGGTGCACACCTGTAGTCCCAGCACTCAGGAGGCTGAGGCAGGAGGATCACAGTGAGTTTGAGGCCACCGTGGGCTACATAGTGAGTTTGAGGCCAGCCTGAACTATATATCGAGACATTGTCTCAAAACAAACCAAAAAAATCTTATGCCAATGATCTTCCCACTTTGTGAAGCAGTTCTGGAAGTCCTCTTTCATTAGTGCCTGTACAAGTATGATGAAAAATACGGAGTACATTGTTGCCTAGCGCCACCCAATGGCAAGGGAGCCTTGTAAAAGCATGATGGTGTGTCCTCATCCACCTTTCTTACCAGATCTGGCACTCTGCAACTTCTGGCTCTGCTGCAAAGTCAAAATGATCATAAATGGAAAATATATTGAATTTATTCAGGACATGAAGGTAGTCACAACAGTGCAACTAAAGACACTTATGGAAGAGGACTTCCACAACTGCCTCAGAAAGTGGCAAGAGTGGACTATGCATGGTGACACACACCTGTAATCCCAGCACTTGGAAGGCTGAGGCAGGGGTATTGCTGCGAGTTAGAGGCTAGCCTGAGCTACACAGTGAGTTCAAGGAGACTGTTTCAAAACACAAAACAAAAAGTGGCAAGAATGATACCAAAAATGTGTTCAAAGCAAAAGGGAGTATTTAGAGGAGGATTAATAGCAATGTGTCTTTTATTGCGATAAATTTTAAAAGTAAAATAAACATTCATATTTTCAATCACGCTTTGTGTGCATACAATTTTAATAAATGTATGCATTTAATGTAATGAGATATAACACAAATAGAAAGCTGTACAAATCTCATGTGTACTGCTCAGCAAGTTAATGCAGAATCATTGCTTATAGATTTCTTTCATTTATATTGTGGCACCAAGGATTGAACCCAGGGAGCACTGAGCTATGCCCCCAGCCCTTTTTAAATTTTTATATTGGGGCAGGGTCTCAAACTTGTAATACTTCTGCCTCATTCTCTTCAGTAGCAAGCATTACAGGGATGCACCACCTCACTAGCTTTATTCTTTCAGTTTTGCAACACTGGGGATTGAACCTTAGGCTTTTACACATGGCTGACAACCAATCTACCATTGATCACATCCCAAGATATTTTTAATTTTTTAATTTTTATATAAGGGTCTTGCCTGCCTCAGCCTTCCAAGTAGCTAGAAGTGTGTACCTCCACACTCCGATCAGCTTTAATTTTCAATTCAACTGAAGCTGGTATTAAGTGAAAAACTTACTCACTTTATTGGCATATGTAAAAAATGTTAAAACCCTAGTACCAAAAAAAAAAAATGTTAAAAACAACAAACAAAAATTCTTCTTCTACCAAACAAAAATTGCCATCCTTTCCAATATTGTTATTCCACCAAATTTTTGTGAATATTAAGTATACAATGACATTCCGGCAAAGAAAAGAAAAAAATTACCTAATGCATCGAGTACACTGTATGCATCTAGTCATGATGGTCTTTACCAGCGGGCCAATGTTCTTGTCCTCCACAGCACGTTTCCCCTCTAAAAATCGGCTTCTATCACTTCCAAACATCATGGACTGGTCCTTAAGCAGATTACCAAAGAGTCAATGTAATGCTGCTAATGAAATTACACTTTGAAACAACCAAAAAGATAACAAAATTATATGGGATACCTGCAGATCACATTCACCTCCCTGGTCACAAATAGGACAGTCCAATGGGTGATTTGCTAATAAAAACTCCATCACACCTTCTCTGTATGAAAAAATTACAATACACAAAATGACGTAAATAGTTGGCACTCAAAATGGCTATTCAAATAAACTTCACAGATCTGTTTCTTACATAGTTGGTATTAATTTTACATTTACTGGTATTTTCAGAAATGCCAATGTAACTACCGTTCTGATAGGCTTAAACACATAATTTGAAAACTGTTTATAAGAATCTAGACTAGGGCTAGGGATATAGCTTGGCACTAAAGTGCTTGCCTAGTGTGTGAGGCTGTGAATTTAATTTCCTGAACTAAAAAAAAGTGACTAGAATAAAATATCTTTAGAGGGCTGGAGATTTAGCTCAGAGGTTCTGCTGCCTGCCTCACAAGTGCAAGGTCCTGAGTTCGATCCCCAGTACCAAAACAATATATGTATCATTACAGAATCTAGGAAATTATGACTTTTAACAATATAGAATTATCAAAAATTGCTGAAAAGTCCTCAAAAAATATTCACATTAAATCAAAATAAAAACAAATAGAGCTGAGGTGTAGCTCAGTGGTAGAGCACTCACCTAGCGTGCACAAAAGCCTGGGTTTGATTCCCAGAATCACAAAAAAGCAAAATTAAAAAATAAAAATCAGTCACAATTAGTGACAGAGAAATTAGTAACAGTCTCAGCTCAGTAAATCTAGACCCTGTTAGTCAGCAGAACAAATTACTAAACAAGCCTTTTTAAAACTGATCACATTCTAGGCTTGACACCATTAGTCCCTGACATGACCTCCTTACTGTGTTCTCGTTTCCTGTCCTGGAAAACAAGTACATCAACTTCCTCTGAGGCTTGTACTAAACTCCTACTCAAGGGAAGGGCCAAAACCATGTGAACAAAATCTACTACATTAATAACAACAAAGGGGCTGGGGATTTAGCTCAGTGGTTCCGCCGTCTGCCTCAAAAGCACAAGGACCCAAGTTCGATCCCCAGTACAAAATAATAATAATAATAATAATAATAATAACAACAACAACAACAAAGTACCTGGCTTTCTTAGATTTTTCCGAGTTTGTCAGGATATTCCAACCTTTCATTACCGGCATAGCACAAGCAGCTACAACCTAGAATTTCAGGATTTGTATTTATTTGTAATTATACAAAAGTCAACATATAAAAACATTAAATTCCATAAAAGCATTAAATTATACATTTACAAACAAGCAAAGAACAGGGTATTTTTCAAAACAGAACTGTTTAAGTTTTCATAGTCACAATACAATCTGGCATATTATATTTCTTGTAGAAAAAAACTAACATCGCTATGGTTTGGATATAGTTTGTCTCCTAAAGGTTCACAAACTGGAAGGCTGATCCTCAATCTAACAGTACTGAAGGGTGGTGAGGGTCTTTTTAAAAATTTTCTTTTCAGGGGCAGAGATTTAGCTCAGTGGTGCTGTCACCTGCCTCAAAAGTGCAAGGTCTGAGTTTGATCTCCAGTACCAAAAAAAAATTATCTTCATTATTGGGGATTGAACCCAGGGCCTGTGCACTGAGTTATGTCTTAGATCTTTATTCTTTTGAGATGGGGTCTCACTAAGTCACTAAATTGTTCAGGCTGGGCTCAAACTTGTGATTTCCCTGCCTCAGCCTCCCAGTGTGGTAGGATTAAAGGTGTGTGCTACCATACTGGGGTTGAAAGATGGAAGAACTATTAAGAGGTCCAGCCTAGTGGGAGATGACTGAATAATGACAAATTGATGCTTGTGTTTCAGAGTGGTCAGGTCTTGCAGGAGTGGATTAGTCTCCCTAAGAATGGGTTATAGAAACCAAGACTGGCCTCTTCCCAGTCTCTTGCTGCTTCTTCTGTCATGTTATGTAGTGGCCAAATGGCCTCATGAAAAACATTCCAGATAGGGGTAGCCTTATCTTGGACTTTCAGTCTCCAATACTGTGAGCTAAATAAACCTCTTTAATTCATAAAGAACCCAGTCTCAGGTTTTTTGTTTTTGTTCTTTGTGCTATCAGGGATCGAACTCAGGACCTTGCACTTACAAGGCAGGAGTGGTGCCACTGAGCTAAATCTCCAGCCCTTAGGTGTTTTTGTTTTTTGGTACCGGGGACTGAACTCAGGACCTTGTGCTTTTGAGGCAGGCAGCAGAACCACTGAGCTTAAACCACTGAGCTAAACCCCCTTAGGTATTTTTTTAACAGCAACACAAAATGATCTAAGACAAACAACTTACTTCTTAAATTTATTCTAACAGTTAATGCAATTTTTTATTTTGCTATAAAACAGAACATCACAGAACTATGCTTTCAGCTGGGCATGCTGGCACACACCTGTAATCACAGTACTAATGCTAGGAGGTTGAGGTAGGAGACCCTGTTTCAAATTTTTTAAAAAAATTTTAAAAAGGGCTGGAGATGTAGCACCATGTGAAGGTTGTGGATTCAGCTTCCAGTATGAGGGACAATAAAACAAAAAAACCTATGTCTTCATGCATAGGCACTACTGAATTAAAGCTGCATATGCCAATATGCAATTATACTCCTGAAAGTGAACTCCTTTGCTGCAAGAAGGAAGTCACCTCCCAGGTACTGAGACAGGGTGCTCTCAAGCCTGCCTGGAATCCTGGGTTCCACCCCCACTGTGTTCTGCAACTTACATCCTTTATCTGTGGCCTAACAGGCAGGTGCATAGGCAACTGAGGCCAATGGGAAGCCTGTGACAAGGCAAGGCCACAGCACCTGCAACCCAGGTGTTAGAGGGCCCAGCAGAGGTCTAACCAGCACTGCTGACCCTGGGCACCTCACCTTCTCCTCTGAGTTCCTCAACATCCTCAAATGTGCTCAGACTGGAATTTGGGGAGCATTAAGATATAGCCTGAGCTTCCTCCTTTCCTTAGAAGAAGGGCACACAAGGGGCCAGCTTCAAGTCCCTCCTTCCTTCCTAGGCCTATAGGCTCAGGTCTACCCTCCATCCTCCCCCAGTGCCCCCAGCGCTTTTTCTAGTAAATATGGTACTGCACAAGTACTTCTAATGCTACTTGTTGAAATTTTTAATTTCTAAACTTGTTACAATTACATGGCACTTAGGTTCATAAAGCACTTTTATCAAGGTATTTCCAGTTCTGTGCACTCAACTGCACACAAAAAAATACTGAATTTACAGATAAAAGTAAAACAGGGCTATGTTCTCCTCTACAACAGTAATGATTCCAAATAAAGTTAGCTGCAAGATTTAAAGTTTTCTACCTTCTACAGCATAGTGTGGAATTTTAGATATTAAGTACCTTAGGAGCCTTCTCAATTTCAACAAGACACATCCTGCAGTTTCCAGCAACGGACAGCCTTTCATGGTAACAGAACCGAGGGATCTGCATGCCAACCTTCTCACAAGCCTAGAAGACAAAACAAAACACAATTTGCACTGGGTACAGTAGTGCATACCTGTGACTCCAGGTAGATTGCAAATTTGAGACCAGTCTGGGCAACTCTGCAAAATTGTGTTCCATGCCCAGCACTGTAAAAATAAATAAATAAAGTTTTTTAAAAGTTTTCCATTAGAATAACCTGACTTCATCCTGTTCTTGCTGAAGAAGAGGCCATCTTATTACTCCTGCCATAAATATCTGTCTTTATCCATTGTAACATCAGTTCCTAAAGACACAGTATTTCCCTCCTCCTTTGCTCTTGATTCCAACTCCTGCTGGCTCTGAATCTAAAGAACCTCACAAGGGGCTGGGGATTTAGCTCAGTGGCACCACACCTTCCTCGCAAGTGCAAGGTCCTGAGTTCAATACCCGGTACCAGGGGGGGAAAAAAATAAAGAGAGAACCTCACAGGATCTAAAAACCTCAGCATGCTGTCATCTGTTATGGAAAACCTGGATAAAGTATTCTCAGACTGTGCCAAAGGGTTGACTTCCCATGTCTGCTTTGAACCACAGTCCACAAAAGCTCCTTCTTCAAAGTCTGTCCTAGCGGTTTCACATCTGGACTTCCTCTTTGCTCAACTCCCTTCCTTTGTATCAGAGATAGCAAACTGCACTATCTAGCTGGCTACGATCCACTTCTGCATTTGGTTCCATATATGCCCTCCTCCCCCAGGACTCTTGTCTTCACTCTGCCTGAACCTCTTTCTGGTTTCTGTTTGCCAATTAAGAGAAGATAGCCCTGTCCCTCTAATGATCACCGCTTCTTCTCTGTAAGTTCTTCCTTCTTCTAGCCTATAGACACGTTCAAATATCCTCTACAGTCAGCTCTTCCATCCTCAGCTCTCATTCTAATCCCATTAATTTCCAATTAAGCATTTAGGCAGCAAAAAATGTTCTAAGTTCTTATGTGCTCAAAGCAGCAAGAATAAAAGACAATTTCCCAGTTTTCATTCTAGTTTACATTCCATGATTACATCTAAACCTTTCCTTAAAGCCCTGACAGTCCACTTTTCTAACCTTTGAATTTAAATAGGTATTTGCATGTATATGTTCCATAGATAGTTAAAATTCAAGTTATTTCTGTCCCCTACATATATCCCCAAACAAGCTAAAAAAAAAGGAAAATCAGAAGAACTCCTGTTTTCCATCATTCCTAAACATCTGTTTATCTACATCTTATCATTCCTTGAATATACCTTTCTTGTTTTCATTCCCATTATTCTTATCTATTTTAGGCCCTTTTATTTCCTGCTCCACATATACTCTTTCCTTCTCTCTCTCCAGTTTTGCCATTTTCCAAACTATCATCCTTTACAGTTACTATTGTGATTATTAGACACCAAAATTTCTCACTGTCAAACAACAATCTCTTTTCCTTGGCAGGTTATCGTATTTCGTGACTAGACCTTCCCTTCATCAATAACTTGATTTCCTGTCATCTTATCTCTTTATTCCTTATGATTTATCACTAATGAACTACTTGAAACTTCCTAAACATAATGAGCTATTTCAAGGTTTAAAACCTCCTCAGGGATCACCTGAGATGCCCCTGGCATCTGTTTCTACCAAAACTTTCCACTCCCCCCACCAGTGTACCTTGCACATACTTTCATTACACATTCAACCCTTTCATATCTGTCTAGCAGAGAATCTAGAAATTATTGCTGAAAATAACAGCCAACACTTAGCTCTGTAATAACCCACAGATGGAATGAAGCATCATTTCATGACTAACTCTGTTATTTCTGGAGAAATTTGGAAGATTATGAATTCAAGAACATAGTATGCTCCATTTACCTGCTTTTTAGGTTGCATCCTTAGAAAAGGTATTAAAAATAGAAGGTTACATAAAGTGAAAAGCTTCCAGCAGACCAACAACAAACTAAGGTTACTTTTTCATAAACTTAATTATTGTAACTAGTTTAGGTAACTTAATGCTTTTTAATGGGTATCATATGCGAGGTAGAAGTGAAACAAAGTAACTACCACAGTTCATTAAGAATGACAAAAACAGGGCCAGGGATTGAGCTCAGTGGTTTAGTCTGCTTTGCAAGCGCAAGGACCCGAGTTCGATCCCCAGTACCAAAAAAAGAATGCCAAAAACATAAAAGGACAACTCACTTTGAAATGTGAACATTGAAAATCAAATTATTTTCATATAATTTTGCTATTTGTAGTTCTTTCTAAGAAGCAAATAAATGGTTTAATGAAAATAAATAATTTTCTTAAAATCACAGAACACATATATTAATGAAAATAAAGAATCAGAGCATATACCCACTTGGAGGACAGTAGTCCCAGGCTCCACCATGACAGACTGGCCATCAACAAACACTTCAATCAAGTTGCTTGCCACTGTGGCAGTTGTTCGAACTGATCACCAAGAGAAAGCCAAAAACAAATTAACATCACTGAATTTATTATGGCAAAGAATAATGGATTAATTAACTATGGAAAATTTTTCTGCATTTTATAGTATTCTTCTATTTCTCTAGGTGAAAACTTTTAAAATACTGAATTAGAAAAAAAGCTTTTTCAATCCTGTATGTATATCAAACAATATTGCTGTCTACTTCTAATAGTAGCTCAAATTGAGACTTCTAATAACACTTTTCAAAAACAAAATGACTCATTTTTCCATTTTGGCTTTGATGTGCGGTTCCTCATACAGTACTTCCAATGATATATAATTTCTACAAACTAAGGTAAAGTTATTTCGAAAATTTTTCTGTCAACTTAGATCACTTATTTTTATTTTATTTAAAACAAATTAGGGGGGCCAGGATGTAGCTCAGTGGCGCTGCACCTTCCTGGTAAGTGCAAGGTCTTGAGTTTGATCCCTGGTACTACAGAAACAAACAAACAAAACAAATTAGGGGTTTCGGGTTTTTGAAAAGATATTCCACAGACTTATAAATTTACAAAGGTAAGTCTAATAGGAATGCAAAAAACCAACTCACCATATCCAGTAGAAGACTTAGAAAGGCCTGCTAAGGCCCTTCTAACAGGTATCCTTAACATATTGCTAAAAATGAAACAAAGAAAAGTAATATTATTGTAGAGAGAAAAAAATCCAATCATAAAATTTTTCGTATTGTTTTATGGTTTTAAACTACTTTGCACATATTAAGTCATCGTGTATTCATAAATCTTGACATTTTTCCTCAAATACTGTACAAGAATATTACCTTACAAGCAGGTAAGGAGTAGCCAGTATATAAATTTGGGCTAGGTGAAGGACAGCTTTATTGTTTTATAACCATAAAGAAATGATGAAATTTAAACACTATAATACAATAAAATAAACTCCAAGAATAACTGTGCTTGGCCCAGCATGGTAGTGCACACCTATCATCCCAGCACTCTGGGAGGCTCAGGCAGGAGGATTCCCAAGTTTGAGCTCAGCATGGGCAATTTACTGACTTAGCAAGAACCTGTCTCAAAATACAAAATTAAAGAAAGGGCTGGGGATATAGCTCAGTGTCAAGGCCATGGGTTCAGATCCCAAGTACTGCAAAAAACAAACAGTTTATCATTAACAGCCGTATAAAATAAAGCCTACCTTTCTGCCTTTTCTCCCGACATGCATTCTACCAGTGAGTACTTGCTAAGCTCAGTTATTTCCTAAAATGTTCCTAGGATTCCTGTCTTGAGCTACCTTACAAGCCAATTTTCTGTGCTAAGCAAAACATTTCTTTTACAGACTTACAACAATCGGCTTATATGCTTTGTTCTACCCTTACTTTATTATGATCCCTTTGAATCTTTCCTTCTTCAGTAACTAAACGCAAGACTGGTACACACTAAGCTTCTCAAGTGGGGGCAATTTTGCTCCCTAAGAATGTCTGGCAATGTCTGGAGAGACTGTGGTCACAACTGGGGAAAGGCTACTGGCATCTAATGGGTTGAGGGCAGGTTGCTGTTAAGCATTGTACAGTGCACATGACAGCAACCCAAAATAAGGAATTAGCCAAAGTATCAACATTGCTGCTCTGAAAAGTTTACTGAATTACTGAAATATATAGAAACAGATTATAAAAACATTACCACTTAAATAAAGACACATAGGCAAAGAGAAAAACTATCAGAACTTTAGTTTTTCTGTGCACTCACCTGATCACATAGGTTAAATATTGAACTTTTTTTTTTTTTGAGACAGTGTCTAGGCACATAGTTCAGGCTGGCCTGAACTCATGATGATCCTTCTGCTCCAGCCTCTGGAGTGCTGGGATTATAGGCATGTGTCACCACACCCAGCTAAACACTGAACTTCTGGTCTACTCATTTGATCATACAGACTCAGCATCTAAACTGTAACGGGCACAACACACACACACACTGACACACATAGTAAACCAGATTTTACTAAATCAAATATTAACAGATTCAAAACCAACAATCTGAGGATGTAGCTCAGTAGTAGGGTGCTTGCTCAGCTTTGGCACAAGGCATTGGGGTTGATTCCTAGCGCATGCAAAAAAAATCAACAATCACTATGTATTTCACACAATTTTAAGACTTTAATATTATCTCTAATACAAAAGTAGTGCTAACTTTAGATAAGAAGTCAAACAGAACTAGACTATGTCTTGAACATCCAGTATCAAACGGAATACCGCACAGCTTCAAAGTAAGAAACACAGATTTGCGGCACTTTGGCTTGTGCCTTAAACAGACTTATCACGTTGGGATGGAAATACTTACAGTCATCTCATCAGAGGCTGAAGAAGATGAACATGATGAACTAAGAGTATGTGAACAAGAAGAATGTGAGCAAGATGAACAATGCTCAAGCAAGTGCTAGAGAGAGACTAAGGACACGTGAAATAGCTACAGTATGCCTACATATCACTTCATTCTTGGGTATTCAGCTTAGTGGTCAGTGTGCAATAAATTCAAGTTCTGCTATTTGGAACTCTTTGGAATTTTTTCGATCCACAAATGACTGAATTTGCAGATATGGAGGACAAGTGTACCTCTATTAGGTGGGAAAATATTAATGACCAATCACTTCTAAAACTAGACTGAATATTTTTCCACATAGACACTATAGTTGTCCATATGTTTCCCATGTATTCACTTCTCTACCTCCAAATTATTTCCCTATTCCAAGCCACCACCATCTTTTGTCTGGACTATTCCAACAGCCTGGCTTCCAGTTTCTACGCTACCCTTCTCTCCATGGCCTCAGACTGAAAGAATCTTTCCTTCAGATCCGTCTAAGCCCTTTCAATCCTTCAAATCTTGGCTTAAATCCTTTTCTCAGGCTTTCAGCACCAGCTTATATAAACATTTCCTAACTGGTCCCCAATCATATTGATATGGGGAAAAATATGTAACTCCTAACTTGCTGGATGTCAGATATGCTAAGCTGGTATTTCCTGAAGTTGAAGAATGAATTCTAAGGACCAACAGAGGTTAAGAGTAAGAAAAACTTAGGGCTGGGGATTTAGCTCAGTGGTTCCAGCACCTGCCTTGCAAGCTCAAGGTCCCAAGTTTGATCCCCGGTACAAAAAAAAAAGAAGAGTAAGAAAACTTATTAGAAAATAGGAATAGCTTTTGAAACACAGGAGGGGCCCCCAGTGGGTTGCCAAAGAGGCCACTTCTCTGCAAAAAGTTTTTTGTTTTTTTTTTTGGTACCGGGATCAAACTCGGGACCTTGCACTTGCAAGGCAGGCAACGGAACCACTGAGCTAAATCCCTAGTCCTCTCTGAGAAAGTTTTATACAGCAAAGTCACAAAGTGGGTCAACATGGATCAAAACTATAAACCAATAAGATTACAAGTATAGCTGCTTGGCTAATATTGATCCAATAGTAGAGAGGGCATATGGATGACATCATTGACCTTGGCCAATAATCTATAATTTTAGTCTTGTCTTCAGTCTTAGTTTTAGCTGTCTTAGTCTTAGTGGTTGGGAGAGGATGACCCACACCTAATGAGATAATGGTTTATTTATGTGGGAAATTTCAAACTTCCATCCCTGAGGGAAGTATGCAAATCTGGCCTTTGAGACTTCAATCTACTTTAAGTGTGCCTTTAGCCACCGTTTTGACGTGTTCTCATCTGTACTGACTCCCTGGAGGCCTATCCCTGTCTGACTACCTATAATATTTCCACCTAATTTAGCTATCTATAATATTACCCATTTTATTTTTCTTTATGGACACATTTTGGTAATACACGTTTAGTAACTATTTGCTATGTGAATTAAATTTCTAATTTCTGCCTATCATTTATGGAGAGCATTTCCTGGAATCAAAAAGTGAAGGTGTTTGGGCAGTCTCGTAACATTCCGTTTAACGATGCACACACATACAAACACACCAATTGTGCTCTGCCCAACAAAAGAGAAAAAAAAAGAAAAAGGGGACTTCATGTAACAAAAATTGCATGCTATGGTTTCCATACTTTCAATTAGTGGCTGAGCAGAGCTGTGTCTAATCCATGATCCTACAATACATGCATCTGATACCCAGAATTGGTAAATAACGTAGCTGTGTTATTCGTGGTAAGACTTTGGGCTAACTTTCTTAAAGTCCTTTTTGTCACTTTCCTGGTCAGTGAAAGGAATAAAACTGTTACCCAACGTGGTCAATGGACAAAACACAAAAGAGGAGTGGACGGTTGTAAAGGCAACAGAGACTAAGCAATGACTCACTGCTCTGGTGTAGCAAATGAAATTTGGGGCAAATATTTAGTCTAGGCCTAAGCTACCTGGGACACTGACCCTCTCTCGCGGACAAAACGGCTTTCTCCTGACAGGTCAATGCCCTGCTTTTCATGTAGAGGGACTGTCGCTCTTAAACTTGCATGAGGGCTAGGACTCCCGAGGTCTCCCGGTCCTCCTCATCCTTTCTGCTCCATCGGACCAGAAACCAAAGCTAACAGCCCTCCCCTGTCTTCTCCCGGAGGTTCCCAAGGCAGCCGGGTGGGAGGTGGTGCCCAGTCAAGGACAAGAGGAGAATGGGTTGCCTCGGCCAAAGGGTACATTCTGGTCAAGAAATAAACCCAGGACCAAGGCACTTTAGCCTTCCAACCTAAACACAACCTCACCTTCTCCTCGGAGCAGGTGAGAGTGCTCCGCTGGTGTGTCCAGACCCCACGGACCCCTCAGAGACAGGGTCGCTTATTCAATATGGCGGCCCCGGGTAATTCTGTCAGCCGGGCTAGGAGAACGGAAAGCCAGGAGGGACCAGAATCTCCAGATTCGACAATTTCCGGATTAGATTGACTTCGGCAATTTTCGTCAGTCTGACGGCGGGTGGGAAGGAGGTGGAAAGGACGACTTCGACCTGCAGTTCCGCCGGAAATTGGCGGTGCCACCAAGCCGCGCTGCTTCGTTTGTCTCCGGTGCTTTAAAGGGCGGTTCGCGTAGTTTTCGTGAGCCGTAGAGGTACAAATTTAAGAAATTCCCCTTGTATTAATTTGTTTCCAAAAACACTGAAAGGTCTGCGAACATTTGGTGGGCCATTTAATTCGGGTCTCGCAGTGTTTACTGGAGGAATGAGAATAGGAGCGTACTGTGACCTTTAACCTCCGGCCTGGCGATATGGAGGGGAACGCCTCCGTCGCTATATAAGGCGTTTTCCGGCTGGCAGGGACCCTTTTTTTCCTCTTAGTGCTGGGCGCCGACCTTTGGCGCTCTTCGGTCCGCCGCTGCCCAGCTCCCACAGACAGGCGAGACCATGGGTTTCGGAGACTTGAAAAGCCCCGCTGGCCTCCAGGTGCTCAACGATTACCTGGCGGACAAGAGCTACATCGAGGGGTGAGCCGATGGGCGGCGGCCGCGTCTTGGCCAGGCCACGTGGCGGGCTGGAGCGCGAGGGAGGAGGCCGCGCCCTGGAGGACTGTTCAGGGAGAAGTTAAAATGTGCTTTGTTCTTCGACTCAACCAAGTTCCTGGCGTCTTCTCCCCGTGTTGACCTGTAGCTAGTGATGCCCTGTAGATCGCAGTCTCGGAGATCTCTCCCGAGTGGTAGATGTTCTGAGGATAGTGGGGCGACCCTAACAGATGGTCTTCGATTTTAAGCACCTGTTAATTTAAGGAAACTGATAAACCAGCATGGTAGATGTGGACGGGTTTGAATTCCATGAATTACTTTGGTGGATATAGCGATTATCACTTTTACCTGTTTTCAAGGCGTACTTATTTTTCTATCTTTGGCAGGTACGTGCCCTCACAAGCAGATGTGGCAGTATTTGAAGCAGTCTCCTGCCCACCACCTGCCAATTTGTGTCATGCCCTACGTTGGTACAATCACATCAAGTCTTACGAAAAGGGAAAGGCCAGGTAAAAGTGTCTTTGCATCTAATTGAGGGATAAAACTGTTTTCTAAACTTCAACAGGATTTTCACATGAGGAAATTGGACCCAGGCTACCCTAGCTTTGTTGGGGTGTATTGTAGGCTAATTTCTTTGTGACCTTAGAAGGCCAAGAGACTGAAGTCCTCCATTTTTTTCACAGAACAGATAGAACATGGACAACAGCAATTCAACTTTTACCCACACTGTCCTGTCCTGCCAATGTGCCTCAATCCTGACCTGGGGGGGCCAGCGCTGGGTCGAGAGGGTAGCTCATTCATTCAGTCCTGGGCCATTCTTCTGAAACTGCCAACAAGGTTGGAAGTTTGGGGAAGTGGACTCCTATTCACTAAGAATGGATCTGACCATACTTAATGAAATCTCAAATGTTCATACTGAAAAAGTAAATCATAGTATTGGATGAAACATCTCATATGTACTAATGTTTTCTGGGTGAGGAGTATTTACTGGGAGTGTGTTAAGGGGTAAATTATTACAAAAGGGATCTAATGATAAGGAGCAATAAAAAGATATTCTTGTGTACTTTGTAGAAAGGGACATTATGCCAACTTAGTGGTTTAATTTAACATTTTTTTCAAGCCTGCCAGGAGTGAAGAAAGCTTTAGGCAAGTATGGCCCTGCCAATATGGAAGACACCACAGGAAGTGGAGCTGCAGAGAATAAAGATGATGATGATGATATTGATCTCTTTGGGTCTGATGATGAAGAGGTATGCCATCTTTTTACGTCAAAGTAAATTGGTAGGCAGTGTACCTGTATAAGTACAGTGTAGCCAGTTTTCCTGGGTTTGAATCCTGGCTTCACTATATTATCAGACTTTACACAGTTCTCACTGGTTACGTGATGAATAAAATCAAATCACCATCTTTCGGCTGAGCTCCTGATGGATTTGCTTTTTTCTGATAAAGCTGGTATTTGTGATGATCTCACCACCAGCTTCAAGCAGAGAAACAACAGCTTTGTGAAATAATTACAATTTTTCTTTCCAGGAAAGCGAAGAAGCAAAGAGGCTAAGGGAAGAACGACTTGCACAGTATGAGTCTAAGAAAGCCAAAAGTAGGTCATTTATTCTAAGTGGTGTTCATTTATCTTCATTCCATAATAATGTGAGGAACTTTTTATGTTTTTGTTTTGTTTTGTTTTTTTGGTACTGGGGATCGAACTCGGGACCTTGCGCTTGCAAGGCAGGCGGCAGAACCACTGAGCTAAATCCCCCGGCCCGAGGAACCTTTTATGAAGCTTGACCTCAAAGTAATTTCTTCCGTGTTTGTTGAGTGTGTCAGTGTTTTAAAACTTTTCATAGCATTTCTTCCTGTTAAAACTTCCACAGCTACTGGTCTGCAGCTGTTGTTAATCATAGCAGCTGTGGCATTCCACTGTGGGAAAGGAATTGTCACACAACTGAATACCTCTTTCTTAGCCAAAAGGAAAGTGGGCATGTGTGTGACAGACATAAGATGCATTCTGTTCTTTTGTTTGAATAAGGAGATAGTCCATTTCAAAACCCAAATTGGGGTTTTTATTTTTGTCCTTGTAGTACTAGGAACTGAATCCAGGGCCTTTGTACTTAGCTATACCCCCAGCCCTTTTTCAATTTTTATTTTCTTCCAGGGATCGAACTCAAGGCCTTGAATTTGTGAGGCAAGCACAGCACCACTGAGCTAAATCCCCCAGCCCCTCAATTTTTATTTTCAGATAGGGTCTTGAGTAGCTAAATTGCCCTGGCTGGGCCCGCTCATACTTGGAATCATCCTGCCTCAGTCTCCCACAGTGCTGGGATTTGCAGGCGTGGGCCACCACACCCAGCTGAGTATTGGACTTGGGTGAAAAAATAAAATTGTGCTTAATGCTATTTTTTTGTTTGTTTTTTGTTTTGCTACTGGGGATCAAACTCAGGACCTCATGCTTGCAAGGCAGGTGCTAGAACCACTGAGCTAAATCCCTGGCCCTTAATGCTGTTTCTTATTTTCTAGAACCTGCACTTGTTGCCAAGTCTTCCATCTTGCTAGATGTGAAACCTTGGGATGACGAGACAGATATGGTAAAGTTAGAGGAGTGCGTCCGCAGCATTCAAGCAGATGGTTTGGTCTGGGGTTCCTGTGAGTTTAGTTTTTGCATTTTATCATTGGCACCTGAAAGTTGTGTATATTTTAACTGCCCATCAATAAGGCATCTCTAACCAGATTTTTCTTAATTTTTTTTAAAGCTAAACTAGTTCCAGTGGGATATGGAATTAAAAAACTGCAAATACAGTGTGTAGTTGAAGATGATAAAGTTGGAACAGATATGCTGGAGGAGCAGATCACTGCCTTTGAGGACTATGTGCAGTCCATGGACGTGGCTGCTTTTAACAAGATCTAAGATTCATCCTGGATCATTGCACTTCAATAAAGCTTGAAGAACAGCCCTTGGCTCTTGAATCTCTTAAATAAGGGGTGAATCATAGTGCAATCTATACTCATTAATTAAGTCCTCAGCAATGTATAATGCTGCTGATATAATTAACAAATCTCACTTGAAAATAGTAAGGGTGAGAAGGTACAGAATGTGCAGTAGTACCAGAGCACATCTAGCCCAGGAGGAGGGAAGACTTGCCAAAATTTGTCATAGATAATAATCACTTGTACACACATTGTAAGTTTGTAATGAGTTACACTGTAAAGTTGGAACCTGTTGATTACTGGGAATGATAACGTGTCCATGGATGAATTCTATATAGTTGATTGTCAGACAAGTTTGCCCTTCGTGTAAAGGTACGTGGTGGGCTATTTCACTTAGATTGGGGAATGAATTGAACTTCATACAAGTAGGACAATAAGTTGAGTGTTAGCTATGAGTTGAAAACTGCCTTCCTCCTACCCCTGGGGTCCCGGACTTTTTCAGTACTTGGGATTCAACCTAGCACCTTTGCACTAAACATTTGTTTGAAGTACTGGTAGATAGGCTCTAAGTTCCCCAAGCTGGCCTTGAATTTGCCATCCTGCTTCAGCCTCCCAGAGTCTAGGATTACAGGTGTACACCACTACACCTGGCTTTTACTGTGGTCGCCACCCAGTACCAAGGATTGAACCTGGGGACTTTGCATAAACTGCATTTTTTTTTTTTTTTTTTTTTTTTTCCTTGTACCAGGGATTGAACTCTGGACCTTGGGCTTGTGAGGCAGCCGGTGAAACTACTGAGCTAAATCCCCGGCCCAAGCCACATACTTTTTAAACTAATATCTTTATAAAAGTGAACCGAAGGAAAGTTATTTTTGAAATGGAAACCAAAGAAGTCAGAGTATTTGTTTTAGATCTTTATTTTTTGTTTTACTGGGGATTGAGCCCAGATAAACAGCAACATTACCAGCCCCCTTTTGGTGTTCTGAGACAAGATCTTGCTATTGTAGTCCAGGCTGGCCTCATAGTCATAGCTATCATCCTACACCAGCCTTCTCTTGAGCTCTGGGATTACCATACCCAACCTCTCAATCCTTTCTAATTTTTTTGTTTACAGGGGATTGAACTCAGGTCCTTGGGCTTGAGCACCAGGCAGCAAAACCAGTGAGCTAAATCCCTGGCCCTCCTTTTTAAAATTTTGTTTTGAGATAAGGTCTCAATGAGTTGCTCAGAAAGGCCTTGTACTAATCCTACCTCCAGTCTCATAGAAACTGATGATAAATTAATACTGAAGATTATAGACTTGTGCCACCAAAGCCAATTTAGGCCAGTTTTTTCATATAGCTAGATAGAGCTCTTTAAATCTGATTTTATGTTGTAATTACCTTGAGTACAGGAAACTTACTAGTAAAGAGTTACTCATGTACAGATAGGTATTTTTGACTACACTATGCAGTATGTAATCCAACAGATCCAGCCTAAAATGGAGAAATCAGGTTGTCAGCATCATGGGTTCCAGCAGAGGGCAGCATTTCACTTCCTGGAAAACAGCTTGGGGATTCTGGTAATGCAGTACATAACAGTACAGTAAAAAAAATCTCTGACCTAGACATATACATTTGACTACTGTATCCTTATAAATAGGAACAGAAAGCAGAAATTATGTCAATCTATACATTCTC